TTAATGTTAATTTCCAGGTTAGTCTAAGAGGACTCTTCAGACGACTGTTCTGATGATGCTATTGAACTTTAAAATCTTTAGCATGTGGCCATTAAGTATTCTGCAAATGCTTTCCACACCTGATGTGCTCTTATAAGCTGCCAGGATTTAGCAATTGACCTGTGATGGATGAAGTGAGAAAAGCAAAAAGCAGTCTGTAGAGTACCAGTGTCCAAACCCTTGCTCTGAGTCTGACTGACTTCTATGAGCCATATTGAAGTTTTATATCTAACCAAAGAAAAAGGGTTTTGCTTTGTCTCTATCACAAATTCAACATCCTTCACATTTAAGGTGTGAAACCTGGCTTATAAAATCAAGTTGCTACAAGCAACTTCTACTCAAAAGGGTGTGGGTTTTTTTTCTTATCCTTCTCTTTTCCCTTCCCTCCTCCACTCACTCAGTGTGAGCTTCTTTAGGGAATTTTAGTGATAGAACAGAGGTATGTGATGTGTGCTTCTTGAGGTAATATTGAGGGTATACAATCATCTTGATTTTTACACCTCATCATGCATAGTAAAATTACCCTGTTTTTGCAGGAACTTCAGCATTTGAAGTGTTTAACTGATTTTAGCTGTTCACTTGAATTGGTGTGCTCTCACTGGACAAGATCAGAATAAACTAGTGTTCAACTGAAATAATTCACATTTGCCATGTATATGTGTTTGTTCATAATTTTGCATGTGTTTGTTCACATTTTCAAAATCTGTTCCACACTCTTGCTAACTACTGGTTTTAGTCCTTCAATGTTGAAAAAAATTATATATGTCTCAGCAAACATCCTTAATCACTACTTCTCTTAAATATGTTTGATTTCTGGCTTAGTTACTGTGGTGTTTATTAGTTATCGTATTCATTTCAGTAAATACAGACAAGAGCTCTGCTCATGAAAAATCTTAGTTATAAATCTCTTACTGATTTCCTGGAAATACGCTTTATTTTTACAAAGAACTGTACTGAACCATCAACTTCAAGCATCTAAACATCTACATGTTTTATACATTGTCTTTTGATCACATTTATTTTCAGACTTGTACATTTACTGTGAATTCCTGAGGGCTGTCTGAATATAAAAAAAAATCATCTGATCTGAGAGTTACCTTAGGGTAGTCCTTAGCCATAGAAAATAATAAATATTTTTCATCACCTATTTTACCTGTGAAAGGAGGATAAGGAATTAAGTTTTGCTTGGGAGAACCGAGAAATAATTACAGAGTTTTAAAATAATGCTGTTTCCAACTCTGAATTTATGGCTTGGTTAGACCAGTTAGACTTTAAGGAAGCTATGCTCTGCTTCTGCTGGCTGAAAACTATCATGTCAGGAAGAACTCTTTGAGAGAGCTATTCATGCCCACATTGTTGGCTGTAAGTTGTCATAGCTTTGACTTAAATTTCCACAGTTTGATACACAGTACAAACCTACAGTACACACAGACTCTGTATAAATCCCATTTACTTCTGTCACTTCCATGGCTCCCAGAGATCCACTGGCACGTGACAAATGGAGATAAAGTCAGACTGTATGTGCAAAAGAGTCAGATGCTATTTATCTTGTCCTTTAGTCCTGAGAAAGGAGGATTGGGTTTGTTCTGTTTCTTCTGGATGTGAACATAACCTCTCTTTCATATTACACAAGACAGGTAAGTTTCACTAAAGCTTAAGGCTGAGCTTGCTCTAAGGGCAGCTGTATCTTACCTATCATATTGGTCATTTCAACAACACCTGTGAAATGCCTCCAGGGTTTTAAAAATTTAATAAATCATGTGAAAGAAGCATGGAGCTCTTATCAGCTACCTAGTCTGTTCCTTGGTTCCCAACTTAGGATCAAATATGATTAATAGCTAAAGTTTTTTACTTATTCAATAAAGGCCTGGGGTTAGAGGGAGGATCCTGGTAAGAGTATCACAGAAAGCATTTTCCATGTTTATCAAAGAATCTAAGTTAATACAAGAAAATCCAATGTGAACTCAGGCTTATTAAGGAAACCATGAATGATAAATTCACATCATGTGCAAACATTTTTCCTCTTAATTCTATATTTTTTCTTTTTTTCTCTTATGTTGAAAATAATATTTTGTTTAATTTTTAGTATAATAAACATACAAATTGATTTCTGCTTTTTTCCCCCTTTCGCCTTTTTTCATCCAATATTAATGGTTTTATAAATGGACATTTTGAAAATGAATCTACAAAGAAGAAACATTTTTTCAATAATTCAAATTTAAATTTATTATACTATTTCATTTTATTTCAATGCACTTCTTTCTATCTGAAAATATATTCTCAATTCAGATTCAGTGCATATAATTTTAACAAAGGACCATATTTCACATGATAGGAAATCAAAGAGATTATGATTGTGATATTGATTGAGGATAAGCCTGTTATTTTGTTAAAAAAGTACCTTTAAAATTAATGCTGCAACACTAGGAAAGTTTTATGAACTTTGACCTTTTTTCACACTGAGAATTCCCCTACATACTTTAAAGGGATCAAACTTATATATTCAGAAGAAAAAAAAAAGAAAAGAAGATATGTAAGAAGAGAAACAGTCTTTAAAACACAAGAATTAGTTGTGAACTAATTCTAATTCTGAACTAAGAACTGTCTCTAGTGTAACTTCATCATCAGGATCTGCTATTGCCTCAGAACTAAAATAATGAAATAAAATAATCTTTTAATGGCAAACATGTAAAATCTCCCTTAATTACATATTTAAATGATAAATCTGACTACAATTCCAGCAATATAAATGAATCTTTTGCTTGTTGCAAGCATACCTTTAATGTAACCCTGATTTATTCCTCAAATACATCTCTCAATTGTAATATCAGAATTAAAATAAAATTGCAAAAAAATTTACAGCTGAAATGTTCACAACCCATATCTAATAGTCTGTCATGGGAATAATTACCCATAATGGGTATCCAAGGGATATAATTGTCTGCTGCTGTGAATTAGGAGTGCCACAGGTGGTGTTAATCACTTGGAATGTATTGGAGTAGAACAGCAGCCAGTGATGGAGCCTGCTTAATCTTGATTTGTGGAACTATTGTTTCTGGATGCTTCAGATATAAATTGAGCATGTGGTAGTAATAATACACACTCAGGTAGTTATACTGAAACAAAGGGATATAAATATAAATAATATAAAACAAGGGAAAGTTTTGTTCCTTAGTGAAGGTTACAGAAATGGTAATGAGCAATGTTGTTCTGTGTTATGGCACTTGCTTTTTTTGATGGGGAACACACAGCAAAAAGAAGCTCAGTAGCTGCTTTTACTCCTTGAACCTACCTGGTAGAAATCAGTAAAAGAGCTTTCATCAAGTAGGTACTCCATAATTTTCCTTTTTATGGAATCTCATAATCACTGACATTTGAAAATACTTATGAGGTCATCAAATTCGGTGGTGTATGATTTATATAGGTATATCCAAGTGTAGTTCTTTTGTTGATGAGGAATGTAAAACTTTCTTGAAATATGATATTTATTACGTCTCTATCTGAATTTAAGAATACATCATCAATAGCTTCTCAGAAATAACATGGACACCAATGAAAATGAACTGACTTCGATTTGTGTGAAATATGTAAGCATACAATAACTAAATAAGTATGATGGTACCTGGCCAAAGCCAGAGCAAAGGCCTTGACTGGATATCCATAGCTAAATTAGAGGCAGAAAAACCAAGTCTGTGCGTGACACATATGTCTTTGAAGATGGTGATAAAATTAAAAAATTAAGTACTCGAATCTTTTAAAGGAATTGGTCTTTAAGCCCTCTATAAACTGAAATAACAAAATCAGTTCCTCCTCTAATATATGAGGGAGGGGGCAGTTGGTCAAATATCACTGTGGAACATTCATTCTAAAAGTCAAAGCAGACTAAATAATGTTTCTGTTTAGAAGCCCATTCACATTTTAGAGCACATAGTTTTATATATCCATTACAGAGAGAAAACCAAGGGATAATTATGACTTTTACTACTTAAAATATCATACCTAGGAAGTAACAAATTTCAGCTATGCAAGTGTTTTAAAGAGAAAGGTAAAGAAAGAAGTTAGACCTCAAGTTTGATATTTCAAATTAATCAAGGTTTTGGTGAGCAGGCTTTTTTTTGTCAAGGTTTTATTAAGTCACCAAGTTTACGAAATTGTAAACTGCTGAACTGTAATTTATAAGAATTAACATACATCTTTAAACCAAGTTTCATACCCCAGCAACTTTCTCAAAATGCATAACTGTATGGGCTATGCTTGAGAGTGATCCATGAAAATTACAAATATTATTATCCTAAGTTTTTACATAAGATATCAACATACAGACTGGATTAGGAGAAACCATCTGAACATCATCACAATAAAAGAAACATATACTTCAGCTTTTGTAGTTCCATGTTGTAGCTCCTAGACTGCACTTGTCCTTCAGCATATTCTTCACAAATTTTCAGCTTGTCAGACAGAAAAAAAGGAGGAAAACAGTGAAAATGGATCATCATGGCAAATCATCTGCTAGGAATACTATCGTAAGCATTTTTTGTCAAAAGCAGAACTGTTGCTGACAACAGCAGCTCAGTAAGACAGTAACATACTGTGTCATATAAATATGTGTTATAAAGAGGTTTTTTCTCTCTGTGTGTGATTTTTTTGGTCATTATTCACATCTTAATAAGTATTTTCAGAAAAGGTACTTTATTCTGTATTTTATTTTAAATGCTTCTGTAAAATTACAAGAATTGATGCCCTGTGTAAGGATCTCAAAATTAAGACTTTGCCTGCAGCACCAAGTGTCTCTCCCAAGCTAACAATCAAGAATTAACATACTATTACACATACATGAAACTATTTTAAACTCTAATAAGAGTTAGTAAAATCCAGTCTGCCAAAATCCTGTGTTTGCTGTGAATAATGAAGTGGATTTATACACAACTGTCTGTTATAAAGCTTGTTAACTTACCTTACAGCACTGCCAACACTTTGGAGGAGACGCTGTGCTATGTTGACCCTGGCTGGACACCAGATTCCCACCAAAGCCATTCTAGCACACACCTCTTCAGCTAGACCAGGTAGTAAAAATATAATGAAAGGCTTGTGGGTTGTGATAAGGACAGGTGGAGGTCACTCACCAATTACCATCATGGACAAAACAGACTTGATGAGGAAAATTTATTTAACTTATTACAAATCAAATTAGAGTCCTGCCATCATCACAGTCTCTGAGAGTTTAATTATGTCACATGAATTGAATATGTATATGGCTGCATCTATGAGTAGCAGTAACAGTGTAATTCCCAGTAGGTCTTTACTAGGATTTAGGACTTTGCCTTTGAATTTGGACCTAATTTTTGCTCTCTGTCACTCATTTCAATTTTACATACTTTCCAAGTGACCATCATCTTGTGGTCTAACTATATGGGACACTGCCAAAACACTTTTTTTTTCCTAGAATTGCCTAGATATTTTTTCTTGTAAAAAAGACTTATGACAAAAATTCTGTAATTTTGTTTGTGTGTTGTGCAGGCAATAAAACAAAAGTAACAGGGAACTTTTGAGAAGAAAAGATTGTTGATTTAATGGGTTTTGTTGGCAGCAATCTGCAATGACCTCTTGATTATTCAAATCAAGACTGGAAATTTTCAAAAATATGCCGTATCTGAAACATAAGTAAAGGGCTCAATAAATAGGTTATTGTGTGCAAATCTACAGCCTGTACTAAGCAGCAGGCGAGCCTAAATAGCCATAAGGATACTTTCCATAATTCTGTCAGTCTGTCAATGTGACCTTTTACCATCATAGGAAAACAATTCACTGATGGAACGAAAATTACATGAATATAAAGGTATTAAAAGACCAGAAAATGCAACAGAAAACATGTAGATGATATGATTATATCAGAAACTGCAACGTTTTACATATAAAATATGTATGCATGGATCAGATAAAGCAAGAATTTTTCTTCTTCAGATTTGAAAATCGCATGCAATAACTGAGGTATATCTGAATAAATGTAACAGTTTCATCCAGTAAGCTTTATAGGTTGGAGCCATGTACTTGAATCTTATAGTACAGATAAATTTCCAGCTGCTACAGCTTGACACTGTGCCACTCCTAGAAGTTTCAATAAATTCCCTTGATATTTAGGTATCTTTTTCCATGGATTTATCCCATCTTGTACTTTTGAATCCAGACTGGTTATGGGGAATCATTCATCTTCTTTAGCTATATATCTATTTTTCTCAAACCTGTCTACAACAATCTCTGAGCCATGGCAAACCAGAGATGTGACACATTTACTGATAATACAACATTTTAAACAAGTAAAAACTGTATGTGCAGAAAATGAAAAATATTTTGTCATAAGGATGTATGTAGTAAAATCATTAAGGTAAAAAACTATGAAATACACTAATGAGATGAGAAAAAAAAAATGAAAGATATTAAGTATGAAGAAAAAATGCAGGGGGTCCCTACACAGCTTTCTTCTAGTAACATGGCCAGGATAACAACAGCTGGTAAAGAGAATAGAAGTGTAAACAGTGTGTGATAAGGGATGGCCAAAACTCTGAGAGAGCATTTGCCCAAAACTGATAGTCCTGAAGAAGATGACCTTCAGCAGCACTAAACTGAGAAGGCAAATTTAAAAAAAAAAAGGGCAGAAAGAGTGATCTTAAAATAAGTATAGCAAGAGTATAAACATTTGTGAAAATGGGTACAGGTGCTGAGAGGAAGCAGTAACCATTGCAGCAGGGTGGCTCCTGATTGCAATTTTCCCAAGGCACACCTGCCCTGGCCAGTCTGGGGGGCACAATCTCCCATGGGGTGCAAGGAGAAGCCTGCACTCAGCAGTGGTCTTTCTGGAAGTGTGTAGGCAGTATGCATGGTACCACAGTCCTTGGGGTGTGGACAAGGAGGTTACACAGAGCTGGGACACCAACCCTCAACACACAGGGCTAGACAGAGAAGCTGAGATTGTAGCTGTGTATGTGCTGAAGAGAGTTAGACCTTCTTGAGAATAACTGTAGAAGGGTGGTTAGAAAGTTGTTGGAGTTATTTGTCCAGTGTCAGGTGTTATGCTTCATCTGCTTTGTTGCTGCTATTGATCCTGAACCTATAATTCCTGACTGCTGGTTAATCATGTGTCATTAATAACTTGATAAAAAGCTTCCTGATTTGACTTAAATTAAAAATGTGCACTACTTTTTCCTGTTGTGGATCTTCATAGTAATATATGAATTCTTACTGAAGCTGTATTGTATGATTAGTTGCTAAAAGTAGATATAATATTTTGTCAATATACAAAATATATGTCAACCTGCATTTCATTTAGGCTCTAGTCATACCACTTTTTGGCTAGTGACATTGTCTCAGCATATGTCTATTAGTCTAGTTTGGAGGTATGCCATTTGCAGTGTGATGCACTTTATTTTAATTACTCATGCTCTGAATTTAACAGATTACCAAAAAAAGTTACTTGATAGCATCTACACCTAGTCTAAGCAAAGCATTGAAGTAAGGCAAAATGAATATCCTTATAAGAAGTATAATTTCTGTCTGAACTAGGGGCTTTAAATGTGGGAGGGTTAGGTAGGTTACCTACTAACAGACTATTAAAGAATCTTGCATTTAATATAGTGTTTTGTGCGCAAAACTGCAACAGAAATCAACAAGAACACATCTGTTATGATACTAACTCAACGTGATACATCTATGTGGTGGGGATAAATTGCAATGGGCATCAGATTTTCAGAAGATTAAAATACTGTTACTCCTAGTTTCCTTCAATGAAACCTTATCATTTTCTATAGGTTGAAGACCTTGCCCGGCATCTTCAGGATTAATTTTCCATTTAGTAACTTAGAAAGCACTTGTTCTTTATACGTATACATCATTTAAGGCATTGGATTGCATCATGTTTGTTTTGAAGTGGTTAATAATTTTGTGATTTAAGAGCAATTCATATTTTATGGATTGGTCCTGTTAATGGATGACTTATCATTTATATTAAGGAAATGTGAAACCAAGGATAGCTATCTATTAAGTTTAAGGAAAGGGACAGTTTGAGGGGGATTTGCATTTAGCTTACAATGCCCTTCACCCTTAGAGAAATTTACATTGCAGCTGACATGATAACATATGTACATGAAAAACATCCTATCTTTTATGCTACCCCAATACATATTTCTGCTGCTGTTAGAGCTTGTAAATGCCAATTTACACAGTAACACATTTACGTAGATTAGTGTAGTTTAGAAAAAGCAAAGGCAAAGAAGGCTGGGCAGGTTTTAAAGGTTGGACTTTAACATAACAAATAAAAAATCAAGATCTAAGGATTGGGGGTTTGTGGATCTTCTGTTGCCAGGAGCCACGCATACATTAACATCCAAAGTCCTTTTGCACTTACATTTCAGTGAATGCAAAAAAGTGCTGGCCACTCATAGTGAGAAAAATTTAACCACATTTAGCTAAAAGCCCATAGCTTAAAGACTGTTGTTTTTTCACATTTCCTCTTCAGTTAGTGGGGAAAAAATGGCTGAAACTTTGGTGATTATTTTTTTAACTCATTAAGTCTGTTACGTTATCTGGTGAATGGCAATAGCAATACCTATCTCTTCCCACTGATTACAAGAAGAGCTGTGAGCACATTCCAGCACCTGAATGTCTAAAATTAGACAGATTCCACATTTGACTGTGAAAATGAAGCCTGCTCAGTAGGACAGATTGCTTTTACAGCTCTAGTCCTGAAATCGGAAAGTGTCGATCTCTTGGGAGGAGTGGAGTAGAATGCAGACCAGAAAAAAAATAACAGAAAATTAAGGGTCAACTGTGTGTATTAAGATTAAATATTTCTTGGTTTCTTCTGTGAAGTATCTTCTCAATAATATGAGTTTATACAGTTTTCTTTGCCTTTCTGCTATCCATTGAGCAACCATAAAATGCTATCCCACCTAAACAGAACCATCTTTCATTGTCAGTAACGCTACTGTAAGTTTTGAGGTAGTAGATAATCAGGTCCATTGTCCCTAAAGGAGCAACAGTTACTTCAAATATTGTCTTTCTCTGGCTGATGGCATGACATGTGTGTGCTTATATGGCTCATTTTTATAACAGATGCATGCCGCCCTTAGCACTTTTTCCACATTCATCTTATATAGGTAGAGACATAATGTGAATTGTGTTTAAACTGCAATGGTTGATTGAAGTGTCTATCTTCCAGCAAAAAAAAAAAAAAAAAAAAAAAAAAAAA